GCGCAGCTCCTGTGGAGAGAGCGGCTCCCGCCTCGACGAAGCACCGCCGGCGGCCACACGAGCAGACCCAGCACCCCCAGGCTCCGCACCCCCAGGCTCAGCACCCCCAGGCTCAGCACCCCCAGACTCAGCACCCCCAGGCTCAGCACCCCCAGTCTCAGCACCCCCAGACTCAGCACCCCCAGACCAGGCACCCGCAGACCCGGCACCCGCAGGCTCAGCACCTCTAGCAGCACCAGATTCAACAGCTACCTCAACAGGCTCGATTGCGTCTACCTGGGACACACCTGAAGGGGCAGGACCCTGAGGAGGGAGGGGGTCTACCCGGGTAGCACCTGGCGCAAGGAAGAGCGGCGGCGGGGGGAGGGGCGCAGTGCGGTAGGGGAAGAGACGGTAGTAAGGCACTAACTCGTCAAAGGTGACGTCCTGGGAGGACAGAACACGGCGCGTGGTGGGGTGGTAAAACTGCCAGCCAGGCGCGTCAGGGGGGAAGCCAAAGGAAGACGCAGGGAACAGCACGGGGGGACAGCTTGTCCGCAGACAAGTCGCGGACAAACGCCCGAGATCCCCAGACCCGAAACGCAGACGCATCGCCAACCTTCCCTGTCCACCGCAAGGCGGGGGAGGTCTCTGGCAAGGAGACCCGGGGCTGAAGGTTGAGCTGATGCGCGGCGTACTGAACCGCAAACGGCCATAGAAAATGCGGGGCAGCCGCATGCATCATGGACGTACGCGCGACGTTCATGACCATGCCAATGCGGCGCTCAGCAATCCCATCTTGCTGTGGAGAGGCCGGAAGCGTGAAGGTCTGACGGATGCCCTATGCCCGACAGAAGGCTCCCAGACGGGCAGAGGAAAACTCCCCGCCTCTATCCGAGTTTAGACGCAGAACAGGAAAGTCCGAGCCGAAACTCTCTCTGAGCTGGAGACGAGCTGCGCGGATCCAGTCGATCAACACCTCAGTGACGTCACCCTTGTTGCGCAAGGGGGAGACTGTGGTGTAACGCGAGTAGTCGTCAACGACCAGCAGAAAGTACAGCTCTCTCCCCTGCCCACTGACGCGGGCTGGGCCCCACACGTCCATGTGTAGAGTCTTCAGCGGAGCCTCTGTCGGAGGAAACTCGAAGGACTGAGGGGCGGCGCGCTGTCGCCCCTCAACGCAGGGGACGCAGGTAGGGCCACGCCCCGGAGGAAGGGGAGGGAGAGACCGAGGAAGACCAGAGACAAGGACACGGGAGGCCATGCCTCGGAGACGTGGCAAGGAGGGGTGACCAAGGCGGTGGTGCCAAAGGAGAGTCTGGTGGGACAGCAGACGACACGAGCAGGGGGCAGACTCAGGACCAGACCTGGACGCCGCAGCAAACACCTGACTCGACGCAGCTACCTGGGCAGACTCAGCAGTAGGAGGAGACTCAGCAGTAAGGGTGTACAGGCTCGACCCTAGCCGACGGGTGAACGTGGCCAAGTGTCGGCCTGTCCGAGCACACGTGCAGTGGGTCACCCGCTGACTCGCAGGAGTGAACTGGTCAACCCCTCGATCCTGTAGGTCCGCTCCACTCACCAAGCTCGTAGAGAACAAGGAGAGGTAGAGACCAGACAGGGTGCCAGAGGGGGCTGCAGGGCACGGAAGGACAGTGGAGAAGCTAGCAAGGACAGGACCCCCAGAGGGGTTTGCCAGGGAGACTGCAACCGGCCGACTAAGCGGCGTAAGAGTGGTGCGGTCTTGAAAGAAGGATCGGGACGCACCCGAGTCCAGTGTGAAGGTGTGGAAGGCCTGAGCCGACGTAGTACCTGAGAGAGCAGACTCACCAGCACCTGGGGCGGCAGACGCACTGGCACCTGGGGCAGCAGACGCACTAGCACCTAGAGCATCAGCCTCATCAGCACCTAGCGCAGCAGCCTCAATGCCCGGGTCAGGCGGTACACACAGGTAACAGGCACCCTCAACACTATCAGCAACAGCATACATGGCAGCAAGAATAGCATCAAAGTCAAGATCAAATATAGCAACCCCGGCCTTAGCCAGATCTCCCCAGCGAGGGATCTCTGACGCCTCAGGGAACTGGCGACGCCACGCGTCCATCAAGCGACCAAAGCAGCGCTGGGTGGAGTGCGGACCTCCGCACTGCTCTACAGTGCGGTCGCCGGTATGGAGAACGTAAGAGCAGGGACCAAAACCCCCACCGCGCTGGCGTGCAGTGTACCACTCACAAAGCTGCTGAGGGGACAGAGTCACACCACTCCGCTGCTGCTGCTGGCGCAGACCACCACCGGCGCCACTCCTTGGCGCAGAGTCGCGACTCGCTCCACCACCGCCACCTCCGCCGCCGCCGCCGCCTCCGCCGCCTCCTCCACCTCCGCCTCCTCCACTACCCCCGCCGCCTCCGCTCCCTCCGCCACCTCCACCGCCTCCGCCGCCTCCACTGCTGCCGCTGCCGCCGCCACCCCCGGCACCACTCCCACCACCACCCCCACTCCCTCCACCGCCTCCACCACCACCTCCACCGCCCCCTCCACCCCCTCCAGCGCCCTTGCCCCCCTTGCCCTTGCCGGTGCGGCGTCTCCCGCTCGGGGCAGACGCAGCTCCGACGGACTCGAAACCAACGAGGTCGCCCGCAGCAGCAGAGGCAACAGAGGGCAAGAGGGGAGAGGGAGAACACCCCTCAAAGACGGGGGTGCGAGGGTCACCACGAGAGGCTCCTACAGCGACTATGCTCTTCTCTATCGCTAGGAGGGCCTTCTCGAGGAGGTCAACGGTGAGAGTGGTGGGGCAAACAGAGAGGAAGTGGTCCCTAACTACGCGGAGAGAGTCAGGGAGCCGGGTGACTATGTAGTAGAGGGTGATGTACATGGGGGGGGGTTTCTTGGCGCAGAACTCAGCAGGAAGCGCAGCGCGGTAGCGAGTGTCACTAGTGCGGAGGTGCGTAGTGAGGTCAGCGACAGTGGGAAAGGCAGCAAGGTCAGGGAAGAGGTACGGTAGCATGAGGCGGCTCAGTGCAGCAGTGGCAGGGGAAGAGTAGTGTGCAACTACAGCGTCGTACAAGGTCTGAGCACTCTTGTACTGGCTAAAGTGTGCACGCTCAGTGGTCTGCAAGTGACGGCGCACAGCAAGGCGAGCAGCAGCATCATGTGTGGCCCACTGTGAGCGAACAGTGGCGTCAGCATCAACAGCAGGGGCAGGGGAGGCACCAGAAGTAAGGTCAAACAGGGAGAGACCTTGTGCCCTATCGCACTACAGGAAAAGCTGCAGATCATCTACCCAGACCTCAAAGTCCACTGCACGACCCTCAGCGTCAAAGGTGAGAACGCTAGGGGAAACCATAACAGCAGTAGGCAGGGCAGTGCAGTGGCAGAGACTGTGCTCTTACCAGGTAGGTGGGGCGATCGGGCTGCTCAGTGGCTCGGCTGTCGGGCGGCTCTGCTGCAGGGCGGCTCGGCTGCTGGGCGGCTCGGCTGCTGGGCGGCTCGGCTGCTGGGCGGCTCGGCTGCACGGTGCTGGGCGGCTCGGCTGTCAGGCGGCTCGGCTGCTGGGCGGCTCGGTTGCTGGGCGGCTCGGGCGGTCGGGCGGCTCAGCTGGCCGGCGGTTCGGCTGCTCGGCGCTGCGGGCGCTGGGCGGCGGGGTCGCAGGTGGTGGCGAGGTCGCGAGGGTGGGCGGGGCCGCGGTGGCGACTGGGCCGAAGTGGGGCCGTAGCAGGGCCTTAGCGGGGCCGTAGCAGGGCCGAAGTGGGGCCGTAGCGGGGCCGACGGGGCCGTAGCGGGGCCTAAGTGGGGCCGTAGCGGGGCCGACGGGGGCGTAGCGGGGCCTAAGCGGGACCGACGGGGCCGAAGCGGGGCCTAAGCGGGGCCGTAGCGGGGCCGACGGGGCCTAAGCGGGGCCGTGGCGGGGCCGTAACGGGGCCGTAGCGGGGCCGACGGGGCCGTAGCGGGGCCGTAGCGGGGCCGTAGCGGGGCCGTAGTGGCCTAAGCGAGGCCGTAGAGGGCGGCTCGAGGGGCAGTAAGGGCGGCCAACAGGGGCCACGAAGGCGGCTCGAGGCGCTACTCGGGTTAGGAGCTAAGCGCGCTCCGGGCAGGGAAAGAAAAAAAAAAGTTCGTGGTGGGCCGTAGGCAGTATTCCTTCTCGGGAACCTGCTCGATACCATGACGAGAAGTGAGAATGGAATGAATGAACTATGAAACAGTTGGGTACAAGTACTAACCCTAATTGGGTTGTACCCCTTGTGGGCTACCTACCCCACTACAGCCTACACAAATGTATAAGCTATAATGTTCTGACAAACTAAAAGACAATCACATGCCCAGCTTAGTTTAGCCTAAAGATTACAGGAAATGCTTAAAACTTTACTAAGAGCTTAGAACCTAAGGACGGGATTACGGCATGATACGCGATTACGGTTAGACTAGCTTGTAACTACTATCTTAGTTCTACTTAATACCGGTAGCCTTGGGTTCTGACCTGTTAGTGGTAGGTAGATGCAGCGTGACTAGCGGGAGTACGTTGAGAAGAGCTCCAGCAGCGAGAGGAAAGCGAGAGAGGAAAAGAAGAAATACAAACCCTATGTTCGCGCGTAACATTTATGATAATTAAAAAAAAAAATTACCTGACAGGCCGCTGCAGCTCAGCTGATTGATGCTGGGTCAGGAATCGAAAGCTCGCAGATTCGATTTCATCAATGTGCCTCAAAGCCTGAACTGAATAGTTTGACCTGAGTTTCGATGTTACACTGCTACACCTTGTTGTACAAAAATAATAATAACTTAGGTTTGCAAAACGCTTCGCAACCCTACGACGACTACGTTGCCTCTTGTTTTTTTTCCGTATAAAGAGCATACGGTACGGTCCATGCCATTGGAGACTAGCTCCTGCATTATTCACATTATTCTCGAGTAGTTGCCTAATGGGTCTACTGATTTTTGCAACATGCATTACAACTATTTTGGAGGTGCTCACAAATAATAAAAAGGTTACATTGCGATTGTTACTCACTACGACCTCCAGAATGCTACAGAGGCTTGCGAGCGAGGAAGAAATACATGGGTGTAAAAATCTCTCTCCTGCACAGAAGACGTTTGAGCAGCAAGGCATACAGTTAGGGTTTGGGAAAACGATGAACGGGAAAGGGTGGGGGCGAGGAGAAACTAGCAGGAGAAGGAAGGGTGATTTTGAGGGGAAAGGGTGGGGGCGAGGGTGGGAGGAAGTTAAAGCCACGGATGAATAGAATGTCAGAAAGAGACATGCTTTTGAGTAATGTGTCAGACAATCAAAGCCACTCACTTGCCGCCCTCCACGAGGGCATCGGCCCCTCTCTCCAGAAACTTCTGCACACGGTAGCTGCCAGCTGGCGCAATCTGCAGCCTCTCCAGCACTTGCACCTGATTGGCCAGGGACCACAGGTGAGGGTACGACAGGGGCGGGCGGACATGGAAGACAAGGGACAGATAGCGACGGGAAAGTAGGCTGGAAGAAGTGATGCTATTGGAGAGAGGAATGGTTTCACGGACCAACATGAGCATGGGAAGGGGACGGAAGTGAGATAGAGAGAGAGAGAGAGAGAGAGAGAGAGAGAGAGAGAGAGAGAGAGAGAGAGAGAGAGAGAGAGAGAGAGAGGGGGGGGGGGGGGGCGAGGATTAGAGGAAGTGGTGTCATGGGCAGAGCACGAGTGGTGGGTGCGTTGGTGGGTAGGAAAGTGCATGTCAAACATGGGGCAAAGGAATGAAGACTGACCGCAAGAGGCATAGCAAGAAGATGGTGTGAGGAAGTGGAAGGTGATGCATGAGGAAGGCAAGGTAGAGAAGAGGCGAAAGGACAGATTCTTAATGCACGCATGGGCAAGGAGAGCGCACGAGGGTGGTGGTGAGGAAGCGGCCGAGGCGGGTGAGCTTGAACTGCGAGAGCGAGAAATAGCTGGGGTCCAGCGGCTTGTGCCACGCCACCTCCGCTGTCTCCGTCAGGTCTGCTGCCTCCAGCAGCTGTGAGGGGAAGGGAGGAGAGTGTAGGAGAAGAAGTGATGGGGCAAGAGGCAAGGAGAGCGTGCCACGCCACCTCCGCTGTCTCCGTCAGATACGCTGATTCCAGCAACTGTGAAAAGGGTGGGGGGAGGAGTGGGGAGAGGGAAGAGGAGATGAGAGGAGAGGAGCAACGATGGGTGATGAATGAGGGAGGGTTGAGCAAAATGGGGAGGGGAGGAGGCCTGAATTGGTGAACGGACTTCAAGAAACCTCGAAGCACTACCCTGGCCCCTTGGTTTGCGTGTATCTTTGTCTATGCTGCTGGCGATTCCCTGCAGGCATGGGCGGTTATCCAGCCCTGCAGGAACGCATGCGTGCGTGCGGGCACGCAACCAAGCCACGCGATTTCGTCCCCTTTGAATACGGCTCGCTCACCTCAAAGCCCGCGTCCAGCAGCGCCTGGCGGACCTGCGCCGTGGTGCGGATGTCTGGCAGCCCGTTGCCCAGCTCCACCTCCCTCTGCACCAATCCTCACCGCACCACACAATGCCGCACCAGGCAACACCCCAAGGAACAACGCACAGCCAGAAAATAGAAAGATGCTCGAGAGTTTAGATAGAGCACGCAGAAGAGAATGCAAAACAAGGGAATCAGGTCGGAGAACGTAAGGGAAAGAGCATGGAGACAAGGCGAGCGAGAGGACAAGAACAAGGGGGGCCAAGACATAGAGGGCGAACAGCAGAGACAGCGACAAGAGAGAGAACGATTGCAGAGAGGGGCGAAAGGGCGTTAGGGATCCAACGCGTGCAAGAGTAGAGAAGGCAGCAGTGAGCTCAAGTCGACTTGAATGACTCGACCTTGTTCTGTATCGGGTCCCACTCACCTTGACCTCCTGGTGCTGGGGGTTGTTGGGGTCGTAGGCATCTGTGAGGCACCACTCGTAGGCCGCAAAGCACTGCCCTGGCTTCAGCACTCGCTTCACCTCGCTGTAGCACCCCACCTGGCGGGGGATAGGGACAGAACGGGGACAGATATGGATACGTGGTGGGGATAAACCATGGTTGCCCCCCAGCCCTGTGAGGCATAGATCCATGGGGACAGATCAGGGAGAAATCAGGAGTAAACAAGTCATTTCAATTGTAAGATTCCACATTCTTGCGACAGATGTGCCTAGTGTCAAATGTCCCTGAGACGTCACAGGGCAAGAGTAGACTCACGGCGTCGGGGGCGTGGCAAGTGGCTTCGATGGCATAGACGGCGTCGAAGGAAGCGTCAGGCACGGGGATGCTCATGAAGTCCGCCTTTATGAACCCGCACGCCTCCAGTGCTCGGTGCCGCCTGTTCAGCACCTGGTGGGGTGGGGGGAGGGGAGGATGGCGGGAATGGAGAAGAGGCGACATGGTGAGGGTGGGTCGGAAGGATGGAAGGGCTGGTTTCAAGGTTGGCTGGGTGGGTGGGTTGGGCGGGTGGGTGGGTGATTGGGTGGATGCATTGATACATGGATGGAAAGTGCACCAGCGTACCTTGCCGCGGGAGATCTGGTACTCGTTGTTGTTGAGCCCCGTTACCGTGGCTCCGCTGCATTGTGTTGTGATGCACACAGGGAGAGAGGGGAGGAGACAGTGAGCGCGCAAGTGAGGAGTGGAGCACAGACGAGTGGGCATACGGAGGGACAGCAGGGTGCAAGCAACAACAGGGTGAATGACGCAGTTCCTATGGGTACCACAGAAACGCGCAATATCAGGCAATCTCTCTCAAACATAAGTTCTGACCAGCAAGCCATTTCTCTCTAAGACTGGACAGAAGGCAGAGGCTGTGCGCCTACCTGAATAGTGCGATTTCTCTCAACGGCCCACCGATGCCGCACCCCACATCCAGCACCTGAGGGCGAGGAGGAGCAAAGAACCGAGGTGCAAAGAGGAGGAAGGAGTGAGGCGAGGTGTGGAGAGGAGGAATGACTGAGGCACGACACTGTGAAATATGAAAGATAGAAGGCTGTAAGGGAGAAATGAAAACTCCAGAAGGGGGAGGAAACAAAGTACACACTTTCACGCCCCATGGAACGGCATGCACGCACCTTCATGCCAGGGCCCAGTCCTAGCCGGAGAGCCAGGAAGTGCTCGTGACGCTTGATGCTCTCCCGTAGCGTCTCGCCCCGCATGCTGAGGCGCGGAGCAGAGAGGCAAGATGCCGGGAGGAGTGGCAAAGTGAGATAAATGGGTTTTTCAGAGATGGAGACGCGACAAGACCAGGGTTTTTTTGAAAGTTCGCAAGACGCAATGCAATGAGCTCGCAGCGCTGCGAGGGAGGCCCATGCAGTCTGACTTGGGTAATGGTGCGCGTAGCTGGGATGAATTAATGCATGGATGAATGAATTGATGAATGCTGGAGTGCAGTGGACTTGACTGAAGTCTGGCCGGCTTCGTTCCTATGAATTAAGAGCCTTTTTTGTTCCAATAGTGGGTGGCTAACGTGGCTAATTGGCGAAGCTCGTACCGGTGAGCGAAGTGGAACGACTCGCCCCAACCGTACTCGTAGAAGCTGGTTACCAGATCATAGTACTTGTTCACCTGGGCGTGTGTGTGAGAAGGGTGGTGGGTCGGGCGAGGAAGCGAATAAATGGGCGAGTTGGGGTAACGGCACAAGTCGTTACAGTTCGAGTCAATGCATTTATGCCTTGTTGCAGCCAATGATAATCAAGAGTTTGACTTATGCCACATCTGTAACCATCCGACAACATGCAGTGTACATACCAGCTTCTGAGAACAGTTTTATACCAGCCACATCAGTATCCCCCCGGCGCCATACTGCGTACGTACATACCATGTCCGTGTAGTTGGACTTGCGCGCGCTGTCGCTCCCTCCGAAGCTCTCGTGGTAGTTCTCATAGCTGCAGCGGGGAAGACATTGATCAGGAAGTGAATGAGAACGAAAGGATTCTCTCATCGGAAGAGAGGCGCCGCGAACCAGAGGACGAATGGGAGTGATATTTGCGAATGCAGTCATGGGAGAAGAGATCTGGAACGCGCTGGTGGATGGCAAGGCATTTGCGCACGAATCATTGTTCAAATGGGGCCGGCTTTCCGCTAACAGACTGATCACATATGGCGGACAATTTCGCCTACAACTGGGTTCATGAAGTCAATCTCTAAGTTCCGTTTCGCGTGAAGGCATGCGGATATTGCTGGTCATAGCACTCCCCGTTTGATGAGACTGAACACTCCTACCTCATTTCAGTCGAAACTTCTCAATGTGTCGATGGAAAAGAATGCATCACTTGAGTCTCTTTGACGATCTCGCCTGGAGTCCGCAACGGCCTCCGTCACCCTCTCTTTCGTTATCCATTTGATTAGAGAATGTTCATAAGTGATGCAAGCGTAAGCCGAGCCGTTGTGAGGACCTCACCTGGAAACTGCCGTCTTCACCTCTTCTTTCTTTATCCATCCGCCTGTTTTTGTCGCCAAACCAACTGCTCCCGTCAGGCTCTGTGTCTCTTCCGACATTGTGGCTTCTGTGCTGCTGATCGGGATTCTAGGAGACGACTATATCTCTCAAGTTAGCAAACCGCGCTAGCGTCTCTAATCCTGACCGGATCTTAAACCAGCCTGCTTTGACGGGCAAGTGACGGCAAGCGTCTCAACTCAACTTGATCCGTGTAATTAGAAGACTTGGATAGGAGGACGGATGACCAAAATGGTGAAGTGGGGAATCTGTGAAACGCGCTGGGTTGAGGGCACAAGGATCATGGAGACGAAACGAGGTTTGGCCATGGATTCCCTCACGTACCCCTCTGCGCTCCATCCAACATGATGCGTTGGAGCAAACTCGAGGCCTTCCATTGGTTGATCCGGTCCAGCGGACTGATGCCTGGATCTCGTGGTGAGGGAGGCCTTCGCGAAAATTATTGGAGTCAGGAAACCCTTCTTGCGAATCATGAAACTTTCGCTGTAACCAGCTGTGCCCCTTACAAGCGATGGATTTCTCGTGTGCGGCTCGATTCAAGTCCCAGCTTGCTGGAGAAGATCGACCACCGACATTCGTTTCGGCGGTTCGATTTCGAGTCCCCAACTTTGTGGAGGGCATGAGGCTGGGTGTGCGAGATCGACATGTGTGAGATCCAAATGTTTGCGTACTGTAAGGAAATTCCCTTTTCCTTACTTCGCGTCCCTGCTCAACGCGTACATCACTGTAGCACCTCAGTCAGCACCGTTACCACTCGCGACCATCGCATCATTCATCATCCCGCCCTTTTCGCACATCGCATCCCGACCTCACGGCTCGGCTGGTAACCCGCGCTCCGGACCTACGCTTCGACACTTTCCCAACCTCAGTCCCAGGCTCGTCGCGCGACCATTACCGTTACCACGGTAGTTTCGCTATATAATGTTCGCTCATGCCTTCGCTCATTTGTATTCTTGCTTCGATAGTGCAATTCTCGTTCGTTCACTCAATTGCACTCGTAACACTTGGTATTCAGAGCCTACGATCTCATCTCGGGCCGCATCCACACCTTCGCTTCCCACTATCTCAATTTTTTGGGGGGGGTAGACGTCTCTCAGCGACACAGCACCGCCGCTCGTAGTGCTCTCTCGAAAGCACGCACGGCCACGACCGAGGCTCTCGCTGAGCTTGCCCGACACCCCCGCCATGGCCGATTTCAATCTCGCCACGTTGACGCAGGAGCAACTCGATCGTCTCGTGCGTCAATTGGAGGATTCGGCGCTCGAAATCGCGACTCTCACGGCGGAACGTGACTCCGCCCGTCAACAGTCAACGGTGAACGTACCGACGACATCACACGCACCAACCAATGCATCTGCACATTCGGAGGAGCCCATCGTCATCTCATCCGGCACACCAACGCAACACAACAGCACGGGACAGCGCTCAGGCGCAGCCAGTGACGGCGCAGCCCAACCGATGCCCGGCATGGGAGGGAACAGGAGCGCATTAAGCCCACGGGAGCCCCGAGAAGCCCGTCGGCACGTGGAGTTTGCGGCGACAAGTGGCGAGAACGCCATGATGGCCCCAATGCCACTCAAGCCGCAACGCCCGCCCTGCTTCGACCCAAGCCAACGCGGCGGCCCGATAGTTCAATCGTGGGTCTTCAGGATGAATGTGTTTTTCGACGCCAACTACGTCGAGTCGGACGCCGCCAAGATCCGGTATGCGGTTTCACTACTCAGGGGCCCCGCCATGGACTGGTGGCGAGTCATTGTGACGTCGCCGCGCGCCTACGAGCCACCGTCGCACGAGGAAGGGCCCTCGGGTCCAGCTGTTACCTGGAGTTCGTTCTGCGAAACCGCCCAATACAGCACATGGGATGCGTGGTGCGCAGGGCTTCGGGCGCGCTTTGAGCCGATCGCGGCCTCGATTTCGGCGCGTCAGAAACTGCGCACTTGGCGCCAGCTCGGGTCAGTTCAAGACTACACCAGCGGGTTTCTCGCACTTTGCGAACAGGTCGGCTACATGCACGAGGCGGAGCGGGTGGACCGTTACGTCGGAGGGCTGAAGCCGGACATCTCGCACGAGATAATGCTACGCGGGCTCTCGAATTTCAACGAGATCCTCGCGCTCGCCGAGAAAATCGATATCCTACGCCGACCGAGACCAGGGTTCTATTACGGACATCGTCCTCGGGGACCGACCGAGCACGCCACTGTACATGCCGTCGCAGCGAATGCAGCTGCCGCGCCGTTTAGAGGGCGCTGCTTTGCTTGCAACCGGCCGGGCCATCGCAAGAGCGAATGTCCAGAGGAGCTGAGGCGTCGAGGAGCAGAGCAGGGGAAGGAGTCTCGGAGGCAGGGAAACGCCAGCAGTCAGTAGAAGTTGGGCCAACTACTGACGAGACTGCCTGCTCGCCCAACCACACCGACCCTCACCGAGTCACAGTACCGATTCACGCCATCGATCGGGCTCGGATGAATAAGGAGGGTACAGCGACGGATTGCCCGGTACTGATCTACGGGAAAATACAGGGAGCAGCAGTGAAGATCTTCATTGACGGAGGAGCAAGCCACAGCTTAGTTAATACCGCAACCGCACGAAAATTACAGTTAACGCTTAACCGATGTTTACCTGAGATAGATGCACGCTTAGTCGACGGCACGCCCCTCGCCATACGGGAAAAGGTGGAGCGCGTAAAAGTCCGCTGCGGGGGGAACTTCGGGTTTACACAGGAAATGCTCGCGACGACACTGGATGGGCACGACATTTTATTAGGACGTGATTGGCTGCGACGGTACAACCCACGGATCGACTGGACGACGGGGAGCTGCACAGTGCGAAGTAGTGGTAACTGGGTCGTTCTACCTCGCTGGCAGCCACCCACATCTTCGACGGTCCAGGTCAACGCCATCACGATGAAACGGGCTATCGCTGCTGGAGCTGACGTGTACGCAGTGGATATCGCACTCGTAGAAAAAGATGAGCAGCCGAGTGATTTGGAGAAACTGCTGGCAACTGTACCGACCGAACTACAGGCACTACTGAAACAGTTCCCGGGGATATTTCCGGACGATTTACCACAGGGATTGCCACCTCAGCGGGCGCACGACCATAGGATCGAGTTAGAACCGGGGGCACAGCCAACTGTATGGGAGAATAGGAAAACAGGAATGAATGAACTATGAATGAAAGCAGTACAAATATGAAACCCTAACTGGGTTGTACCCCCTATGGGATACCCCACTACAGCCTACACAGCAGTATAAGCTAAAAATATGTTCTGACACACCCCCATAGGCAAAGTGGGGGAGAACAAGGGGTCACAAGACCAGTCAAGCAAGACAAAGCAAAGCTCAGGGTGGATCACAAAGTCACCACACAGTCCGAGCACAAGAGCAAGGCCAAAGGCCAGTTCACAAGCAAGAGTACAGACATATATATAAAGCTAGACAAGCAAGAGCAGGTATATATATATGTCACAGTACAAGTGAAGTCAAGAGGAGAGCAAGTGAGGCAAGACAGGCACAAGACCCAGCTGGGTGCAGAAGCGCTGATGGTCACAAGGCGCAAGTGCCTTGGTGAACACATCAGCAGTGTTGGCCTCAGAGGCCACGTACGCAAGTCGCAACTGACCACGCTGCTGCAGCTCACGAGCAAGGAAGTAGCGGAGAGCAATGTGCTTCGTTCTGTGCTCCAAGCGCTGCTCTCGACACA